GCAAGCTGCTGACAATTGGCTGCTCTGTGTACTGTTTTTGAGCCACGCTGCATTTAGTTTTTTGTTCAAATACATTTCAAACTCGTATTCGTTTCCATACTTGTCTCTTCTCTGCTCTGCGTGAACACAGACTGCAGTTGGGATATAAAGTCACAAAATTTTTGGCATGACTTGGTTGCAGCTGAATCATCAGTCATGGTTTCTTGGTTTGCACGAGGAGCCAGAATGTTTTGTTCAAATAGGATATGATTACTATTTTAGTTTTGGGGATTTTTTTATTTTTTTTTAAATCAGACTTTTCGAATACATAGTTGATGAAATATCAAGTTGAAATTTAATAAATTTTCCTGATGCAACCATAAGTAGCACAGGATTCATTTAGTACTGCTGGAAAGTTTAAAATCTGATCATTCTTTCTGTTTTTAGCATTTCTATGATAATAAATGGTGTCGTTTTGATTACTTTTTATTTATTTAAAGATAACATGCCCGCCACTGCCTGGTTTTGACGTTGATCCACCTTATCTCCAAGACAGATTGCAGAGCTGCTATTGAAGCACTGTTTTTTTTTTCCACAAATGGTTGCCTCACTGTCTCATGATATTTCTTGGTTGTTTTTCATAAGAAAATATAAACTGCTTCAAATAAAAATGACACCGCGGTTGCCTGTAAGTTGTATGCAAAATTCAGTTCAGGCTTTGATTACACATGTCCTTTTAACCAGAGGTTAGATAAATAGTCGCTGCTACATCTGTATTGCAGTCGATCACTATCTGAGCTGCATCTCGATGGGGCTTTAATTAGATCAAGGTACATAATGAAATTAAATCATTCCCCATTTGGAGCAATGGAGTCAGCAAGTCTGGTTAATATTTAGTCAAAGTTTATTTTGCTGACCTCCTGGGTGGATTTTGCACATGTATGCTTGCTTGTATTATTGAAAGCTATGAAAATAATGGTTTTATGTCTCCGTTTCTAAGGTGACCAACATGTCTGAAGAACTGACCATCCTAGAGAGCTGCCTGAAGGAGGCAGAGATGGGAAATGATGCTCAGGAAGATGTGTGCATGTCAGACAATGCCCAGACCAACACAGAGACGGCCATCCAGTCGCTGATAGAAACTCTTAGAGCCAGAGACTTCAGCTCTGCCCTCACACAGGTCAAAATCTTTAGGTAAGATTAACAAAACAGTTCCACACCCCAATAACAAACCGCTGACTTTCTGTGGTAATACATCAAGTCGATAAATCAATTAAAAAAAAACAAATTAAAGACAGTTAAATGGGTACAAAATAATTTATTTCTAATGTGCTTGGTCTTGTTGGAATTTCAGTATCTCATGCATGTCACTGCATTTTGAAAAGTCACTTTTAAAAATGAAATGCAGTTTGTTGGATGTACCACAAACAGGTGGCATTCAAAGGTGTTAATCCAACTGATCTAACAGATGTTTAACATTAACAGAATGAAATCATTAATTGCAATTATTTGTATAAGAATTCATTGTCAACTAAAACTTGTGACAGCCCTACATCCCACTGCCAGAAGTATGTTCTGTAGCATCAGTTTTTGTTGAAAATCTTCCCTGCAAGCACTCACCCGCCACCCTCCTTTATCTCCAGGTCTTTGTGGCCCAACGACATATTTGGCAACGAGACAGATAATGCAGTCCAGACCCTTCTGCACATCTACTTCCGTCACCAGACGCTGGGTCAGACGGGCTGCTTGGCGGTGGTGGGCCCAAGCAGGGACCTGTCTCAGGCGAGCACCCGCCTCATGGAGCTCAACCTGCAGATCCGTGAGGCTCTGAGTCAGGCTCAGGCCTGCCAGCCCCACACCACCATGGTCAGCACTGGACTGTGAGTCTGCAGGCTGGACTAGACTGGACAAAAATACCCCCCCCTGCTCTACACAGACCTCACCTCAGCTGTAGAGAGGGTAGACAGTGAGGGGAGGAGGACAAGAGAGACTCCACCTATAAAGGGCTAAAGGATGCGTGGGAATAACTGTGACTCTTAATATATATTATTACATGTATGAATGCTTAAAGCTAATATCTTTTCTTTTTTTTT